TCTGAGCAACAGCGGTTCGAGTCTGGCCCAAGCTGAGCAGCTGCTGAGCTGCCAACAGGTGGCAGGATGGCTCAGCTTAAAAAAAAAAAAAAGGCACAGTATTTGCATATAACCTGTGAACATCTTCCTATATACTTTAAATCATCTCTAGATTACTTATAATACCTAATGCAATGTAAATGCTATGTAAATAGTTCTTATACTGTATTGTTTAGGGAATAATGACAAGAAAAAAAAGTATGTACATGCTCAACCATCATAGGCCTAACTACATAGTACACGCCAGCAACAATGTAACTTTTTTTTTTTTTTCCTTGGTTCTAAGTTGTTGTTGTTTTTTTTTTAGCTGAGCCATCCTGCCACCTGTTGGCAGCTCAGCGGCAGCTCAGCTCCGGCCAGACTCGAACCGCTGTTGCTCAGAGCTCAAACTCTTAAGCGAGCTCTTAACCAACGAAGCCACTCGGCCGGCCCGAATGTAACATTTTTAAAAAATATTTTCAGTCCTCGGTTGGTTGAATCCACAGATGCAGAACCCACAGATACAGAGGGACAACTGTATGCATATAGGTAAATTGAATATTCAGTTAAGATTTGTGCATTTTCCTATATGAAATTATACCTTAATAAAACAGTTTAAAATAAAGAGTTTCCTTTTTAATTACAAAAGCAAATTAAATGCATACTTTTTACAGGAAATTAAAACAAGTGTAACTAGAAGAATGAAACCAAGCCATTTCTGGGGACGTGGGTCTATCTTCAACTCCCTGCAGGTATGAGATGGGACAGAGGGAAGGGGGTGTTTTGGGCAGATGACAAAGGGCGGATCCAGGATCTGTGGGGGCAAGCCATAAGGACATAGTTTCCATTCAAGATGAGGAAGATATGTTTTTTATACCTTTCTCCAGAAATGAAACAGGCTGACTTGAACCATAATGAACTGTCAATGGCGGCGAGTAGGAGCAGAGGGCTACCAGCCACAAGGCAGGGATGCCTGTAGAAGGCACCCAAACATCAGATGGGGCTTGGATTAGACAATTTAGGTCTCTTCCCTTATGGCATCTGCCACTGAGTGCCTTTAAGAAATAGCAGGGAGTAGAACAGGTCCTCTCACACCCTGCATTGTTCCTTGGTGTTAACATTGATGACCAAGCCCATCTTCTGGCAGCCATAGACTGCTGGGGGACTAGCTCTGGAGTCTAGACCCTGGTAGAAGTGAAGGGGGAGGAAAAGACCTAGGGCAAGAACCTTGGTCCTTAAGAAACTGACAATTTGGTGGGAAAACAAAAATAACCCTGCGCTTGGGAGTGAGACCAGTTCCCTCCTCTTCTGCCTCTCATTGACTGTGTACCTTGCATAACTCCCTAGCCCTCGCTGAACCTGGGGGCTAGGCTGGGTTGTTCCCCTGCCTTCCCCAACACCAACACCCTTTGAGGCTGCATGGGAGTCCTGAAGAGGAAGGTATTGGGGACGAATAATTGTCAGGATTGTAGTTGGAGACAGTAGAGGCTCCTGGTCTCATTTCGTCTCTTATGAACTATTAGAAGGGCAGACAGTCTTGCCCCTCCCTTCTTCTCTCACCCTAGGTCACCCCAAGACATCCCAGACTCCTTCCAAGCTATTCAAGTCATCTTGGAAAACTTTGGGGTGGGCACCCAGTCCACCCAACTGAGGCCAGTTCCGACAGGATCTCTGCCACGCAGAAGGTAATTTCCTGTATGGTGAGCAATCAGAGTTCACTCTGGGCTGGGCCTCATTAGGGCCTCACCCCAGAAAGGGCCTTAGGCCACAGAAATCAAGGATTTCCTTGATTGCCCTGGAGATCTGAGCTCCACCCTGCCCTGGCCAGCTGCCCTGGAGGAAAAAAGGGAAGCTCAGGATCTAGTCCAAAACACCTTCTCTGGCTTCCTTCCTCCTCTGTCATTGCTGCCTTTTTCTTCTCCCTTCTCTCTCCTGCCTCCCTTCCTGGGGTTACAAATAAATCTTAGCAAGTAAGGAAATCCACAAATACAGAATCTTCAAATAATGAGGATCTACTGTATGTTGTACTGGAGGAGCCTCTCGTTCTGCCTGGAAGAGTCGGGGAAGACTTCCAAAGAGAAGATACTTTGGCTGTGACCTGAAATACAGAGAGGTCCAGACGGCCTGTAACCAAAAACTAAACCATGTGGTTTGACAAAGAACTGTTTTTTTCTTATTCCTAGGTATTTTGTTGATCTCATAAATGTGGTCTTCTCTTTCACCATATCTTCCAACTCAGCACAGGACAGTAGAACTTTCTGCAATGATGAACATGCTCTGCAACTACACTAATACAGTCGCCACTAATCACGTGACTATTGAGAAACTAAATTTAAAGTTTGATTTAATCTTAATTATTTTAAATTTAAATTCAAATAGCCACATGTGGCAGTGGTTATCATGTTGAACAATGCAGTTTTAACTGATTGCAGTTTGTATATATGAAGGGTATTGATTTTTGTATATTTTATACCCCATTTCCTTACTGAATTTTATTGTTTATAGTCGTTTTTCAATTGATTAATTTGGTTTCTCTTGGAATACAAACATATCACTGACAAAGATAATTTTACCTATTCCTTTCCAAGTTTTCTATTTCTTGTCTAATTGCATTGACTATGTTAAGAAGAAACAACAGACCCAACATGGAGTCACTTGTGGTAAGCCCCACCAAGACTTAATGCCTAATCTAATTGCAGTTTCAGCCTCTGCCAGGAGTGGGATTTTAAACCAATCAGTCTGGAATTTCCTGATAACACTAGTGAGGTAATCTGCCTGATAAGACCTCCTGCCTCCCTCTAAGGAAGATAACCTTTCTTGAAATAATCCACTTTTAACTCCCTTGTCCCACCTTCTTTCTGTCTATAAACACCTTCCATTTTGTACAACTCCTTGGAGTGCCTTTCTGTTTACTATTTAGATGGGCTGCTGCCCAGTTCATGAATCGTTCAATAAAGCCAATTAGATCTTAAAATTTACTTGGCTGAAATTTTGTTAACAGCTAATACCTCCAATGAAAGGATATATAGTCATAGTGGTGAAAGTGTATATTCTTGTTCCTGACTTAATGGAATTTCTAAGTGTGATTTCTTCTTTTTTTTCATATGCAAGTGGTACAAACAGGTGACAAATCTATTGTTCTGTCCCCAAAGCTTGTACCTCCTCCAGACCTTCCTGTGTTACTGACCTGAGGAGCCATTCTGTTTCCCAAGTTAGAAATCTAGGCATCACTTTCATTTCTCTCTTTCTCTCCCTCTCCCTCACTTTATTATCCAGGCCAACCAGCTATCAAATCTGTCCTCTTTTCATTTCCACTGCCACCCCCCAGTCTGTTACCTTTCATTGCTTATGAACATTGCAAGAGCAGCCTCTACAGGAGCCATCCTGCTTCCATTTTTCACTTTCTTCCATCTTTTCCCCACAAAGCAGGTGATATCGCCTTTCTAAACTTTTTCTTGACGTAAGAACGTCCAAACCTGTAGAGAATTTTTATAAGAATTTATCTGAGCCAAACTGCTGACATGTGCCAGGAATCAAGATCTTAAATGCTGTGGAGAATGACAGTTTTGCAGTTCCTTTTATACATTTGGAATTAAGAAGGGAGCTAAGGAAGATTATACGATGGTGGGAGAAAACAAGGCAGGGATTACAGATAGTTAAGATTATGTGCGCCCTTGAGAGTGCTCCCAGAGGTCTGAAAAAGAGGATTATTCTGGCATTTCACAGGTGTGTTCACCTATGCACAAGAACAGTGGACAGGGCTTGCATAAGGCAAAAATAACCTTTTTATAGACCTGGGCCCCCACCATGACCTGTCCAGTTAGGAATTTTATGACCAGACCACCCTGTGAGGTTACTTTCTGTTGGATTTATTACAGAGCCCCCTTTTCATCCCCCTCTTGATCTAGCATATGACTCTCCTACTTCAAACTCATCAATAGCTTCACTCTGGTCTTGTTTTATTTTTATTTTTTGGAGATATTATTGGGGAATTGGGGAAGGGAACATTGTGGTTTTTCTAGGACCCATCAGCTCCAAGTCAAGTTGTTGTCCTTCAATCTTAGTTGTGGAGGACGCAGCTCAGCTCCAAGTCCAGTCACCATTTTCAATCTAGTTGCTGGGGGTGCAGCCCAGCATCCCATGCAGGAATCAAACCGGCAACCTTGTTGTTAAGAGCACGCACTCTACCCAACTGAGCCATCAGGTCGCCTGTTGGAAGCTCAGTGGCAGCTCTGCTTGGGTGCAGCTCACTGGCCCACGTGGGAATCAAACCGGCGACCCTGTTGCTCAGAGCTCATGTTCTAACCAACTGAGCCACCCAACCAGCCCTCACTCTGCTCTTAGGATAAAGATCAAAATGCTTAATATGGCCCAAAATGCCCTGCACCATCTGCCTCTGCCTTCATTTAAAAAAAAAAAGGTAAATCATTATTCTGTTTAAATCTCTTCAATGGCTTTTTGGCTGTTCTCAAAATAAAATTCGAACTCTCACTGTGGGCAACAAGGCCCTGGATGATCTAGTACCTGTTTCTCCAAACTCACCTCATACCACCTGCCCTCTTGATCACTACACTCTGGCCACACTGCTTTCTTTCAGTACTTCAAATACAACCAGCTCTTTCCTACCTCTGGATCTTTGCACTGTCTCCTTTACCTGCAGTGCTTTCCAGGAAGTTCTTCGAATGTCTGCCAAGTCTCCTTCTTTGTGATTCAAGACAAACATCACTTTCTCAGAACCTTCTGTTCTCAATTTAATATAGCCTCCACACAAGTCCCCTCTATTACATCACCCCGCTTCTTTCTTTCATGGTGCTCGTTACAATCTGAAATTATCTTATGGATACCGAAGTCTGACAATTAAGTTTATAAACTTGTTGCAACGATGTTGCTAACCTTTTTTGATATCAGAGGGATTATTCATTATGAATGTATACCAATTGGACAAACAGTTAACCAAGTTTACTGTTTGGAAGTGCTGGAAAGGCTATGTGAAAAAGTTAGACAACCTGAACTTTTCGTCAACAATTTGTGGCTCTTGCATCACAATGTACCAGCTCACACGGCACTGTCTGTGAGGGAGCTTTTAGCCAGTAAACAAAAAACTGTACTGGAACACCCTCCCTACTAACCTGATCTGGCCCCCAATGACTTATTTCTTTTCCTGAAGATAAAGGAAATATTGAAAGGAAGACATTTTGATGACGTTCAGGACATCAAGGGTAATACGACGACAGCTCTGATGGCCATTCCAGAAAAAGAGTTCCAAAATTGCTTTGAAGGGCGGACTAGGCATTGGTGTCAGTGCATAGCTTCCCAAGGGGAGTACTTCGATGGTGACTGTAGTGATATCCAGCAATGAGGTAGGTAGCACTTGTCCTAGGATGAGTTCGTGAACTTAGTTGTCCAACCTCGTATGTCCATTTGTCTTTGGTCCCCACTGAGAATGTAAGCTTTATTTATTTTGTTCACCACTCTATGTTCAGAGCCTAGCCAGTGCATCACACATAGTAGGCCCATTATAAATATTTGATCAATAAATGGAAAGTTAAAATCATAGAGCCAGTCAATGACAGATCTGGAATTCCTTCTTTGCAATGTTGAAAGATATTGCCCCTTTCTTCCAGCAGGTGGAAGCAAAGCCACAGCTGGTCCTTAGTAGGGATTAGGGATGGGGGGGGGGGGGGGATTTGCTGAATGCAGCAGGACAGCCAAGAGGGAGACGAAGGGGTTTTAATGGCGATGCTGGATCCAAGCATAGAGGAAGTCAAGACAGCACTTCTCCCAAAGAATGAATAGGTACGAGCTGTCCAGAATGGACCTGGAGTAGCCAATGACCCAAGGGGTGCCTGGGACCCTAGACTGCTTTCCTACTTCCCTCACCTGTACCACCCAAACCATCCCCCCCCCCAACCAGGGAGGGGCGGGGTTGTCTTTGAAAAGGAGAGTTATTTTCCATGAGCATGAAACTGGAGAAAGGCAAAAGTTTGCAATTCCAAATCCCCATTGTACAGTTGGGGAAACTGAGACCAAGAGAGAAGCATCATAATGGGTCATTAGGAATTGGGTCTGGCTCACAAAGCCCTCTTGTCATAGCTCGCATTTATTCAGCACCACAAGTCCCACTTACCCTACCATGCCTGGCCCTGGACTGGGTGTGGGAGACCACAACAAAGGGGGCATGGACTCTCGAGCTGCCCCAAGAGGCACGAGGGGCAGGAATAGCTTTAGAGAGGCGTGCTGGAGCCAAGACACATGGGGCCCATGTCTGCCAGGGGGACCAGAGGCCAGAGATGTATTTTAGGGTCTGGCAGGTGGCCTGCAAAAAGGGCTGCATCTAGATCTGGGGCTGGAGAGGTTAGCAGGGGGCTTGGGCTTCCTCCTGAAGGCCATGGGGATTCACAGAAGGGTTTCTAAACAGGAGAGCTCCTTGGTTATCTTGGATAGTTGGGAGAAAAAATGTGAGGAGATCAAATCAAAGACAGAGACCAGTAGGATGCTGGTATAATCATCCAAGTGAGAGAAGATAACACCTGGTAAGTAACTGTAGGGATGGGAAAAAAGCAAGCTTGAGTAGTTTAGGAAATTAAAAATATTTTAAGAAATTGGATTTGGTGGCTATAATTGACTAACTTAATTGATACTTATTAAGTGCCTGTTAGTAACACTTTTTAAATTTATAAAAGTGGCTTGGCAGAACTTTATTAGCAAAAAAATGAAGCCCCACACCCAAAGTCAAAACCAAGCCTAAATAGTCTAGTGCTTCTCTTCTCTGGGCCTCGTTTATCCATCCAGAACATAAAGAGGTTGGACTGGTAGCTCCTGATCCTAACAGCTTTGCCTTTCCGATTTTTGGAGGTTGGCTTAAGTGTGTGAAACCCAGTGATATGCAGAGGCAGGCTCCTATCCGCTTGCAGGAGCCAAATGTTAACTTCTCAGGAATTTTGCAAGATAGCACCATTGGTAACTTGAAATTGACTACAGTGGGAGGATTTACACCATGGAAATAGACAAATGCTACAAACTAGGCCTTCCCCCGGCCACCCTCCTCCCGGCCAGAGGTAGTTTTCACCAGCACCTCTCTTCAGCGCGCGCACACAAACACACACACACACACACACACACACACACACACACACACACAGAGCCAGGTACATTCTCACCCTCCAACACTGTCATTAACAGTTGTGGAGAAAGAATCTCAGGTCGCTAAGACTCCACAGGGCCTCAGTCCCACAGAACCTGCCCCAGCACAGCCAGGCCTACTTGCTCAGGCACACACAGGAAGCACAGCGCTCTGGGCAGAGCAAACATCTGTCTGATGGTATGTTGGTAGTTGTCAGACACAGGGGAGCAGAGGTTGGTGGTTAACATACTGGAGTCTCACAGCCCCAGATCTAGATGCAGTCCTTTCTGTAGGCCGCCTGCCTGGCCCTGGAATGCACCTGTGGCCCCTGGTCCCCCTGGCAGACATAGATCCAATGTGTCTTGGCTCCAGCATGCCTGTCTAAAGCCATGCTTGCCCCCTGCCCCTTGAGGCAGCTCCACTTAGGTCACTCTTGGCTATGTGATGGTAGCCAAGTCCCTCTTGACACTGGAGCTCAGTTTCCTCATCTTTAAAATGGAGACATATCCTGACTTAGCAAGATGGTTTCCAGGATTAAGTGAGAACACCAGCAAAGTGAATGTAAAGCACCCACACCATGCCTGGTACAGGTAGGTGTTCAGTAAATGATCGCTGATGCTGTTATCACACCCTGTGACACATTCTCCCTTCTCCCCACCCAGGGCCCCTATGGCTCAGTGCTGCCTCTCACTCTCTGAATTTTGGCCAAGTGGCCAAGAACAAAGACAGAAACAGGCAGCTCCATTTTCTAGCTTTTATGAAAATTAATAACATTAATAGTTCACAGACATATACATATACACACACACTATGTACACAGTCATTAAGTTATTAATTAGTCTCCATATAAAATGTTTCTACATTAGTGTCCCGGGCGAGGCCCGATCAGTCCTTGGCATATTCACAGTAGCAGCCCCAGGGCTCGGCCCCAAGGGCGGGGAGAGGGGAGGCAGGTGGCTATATGAATAGCCTGCCCCAAGGTGGGCATAGGAGCTGTCCTGGCCCACTTACTCTCACGTCTTTGGCTCCCTTCCTGGCACCTGGAGACCAGCTGTTCAGTGAGCAGACAAGCAGGCCTGGATTCCTCAAGTGGCCTGATGACACAGGCCCTATGCATGATGGCTTCAGGCAACACAGCAGGTCCTAGAGGATGCTGGCCAGCTCTGTAGAATCCGTGTCAGAGCAGCCTGAACTGCTGGCCTCTTCCCTGCAAGAGGAAGTGGGTTG